ATGTTGAGCCCACTCATAAACATTTCTAATAATTATGATGAACAGAAATATTGAGCATTGCAGTCCATTTCAGAAAATTATGATAATGAAACACTTGTAATTTAGCTTTTTCCTCTTCAGGTACAACTAAGAGACAGAATTCATCCATCACCTACGTTTTATATGACCTACAGAAAACACTCAGGAGTAAAGTGAACTGCTATGATAGAGGCAGAAGTGAATTTTGCCATGATAACTGTGGACTGAAGCAAAAATAGCTTACAGGGGTAGAGATACTATTTTCTGTCTGCAAAATTTCTTCTCATCAAGACAGGTAATTCACGGCATCTCAAGAGACACTAGCGCTGAACACAACAGTGAGCAACTGTCTGAAACTGGTTTACAACCAGTCTCGGCCTGTGCTCAAGACTGAATGACAGCACTGGGAGACATAAAACACTGACATTTTATACTCAAATACCAACAATGCAGGGAGGTGGAGCAACAGTAGTAGACATGCATGGTATTGCCTGATACTCGGCCAAGCAACTTACAGTTAGTCCTCATCTTATCCACAAAAGAGATGATATTGTTATTCCTATGCACATATGAACACACACACACACATTTTCTCAAAACAAGAAAGTGAAATTCTCCTATCTGTATCTGTGTATGTGTGTGTGTGTGTGTGTGTGTGTGTGTGTGTGTGTGTGTGTGTGTGTACAAATGCACAGATAAACAAATACAGAACAAGAGAATTTCACTTCTTGCTTTGAGAAGACAACTTAACTGTCATACCACACAGCATCCATTTAAATCTGTCCTCTCGGGGCTGCAGAGATATCTCAGTGGTTAAGAGCACTGGCTGCTCTTCCAAAGGACCCAGGTTTGATTCTCAACATGCAAAGGCAATTCACAACTGTTTGTGACTTCAGTTCCAAGGGACCCAACACTCTCTTTGGCCTGTGTGGGCACAACCCACATGTGGTGTGTGTAACTACATGAAAGCAAGACCCAAACACATAAAATAATGAAATCAATTATTTTAAATAATAAGTTGGTGATCTCACTAGCTGTACTTTTCTGATCTTGCAAGCCAATAACTATAATTAGTATATACTTTTTTCTGCATTTGGAGCAAATGTTTAGGACTCAACCTGAAGACTTTATTAGAGTAGTCTTTATTAGTCCTTTCTAGATAAATCCACCTTAAAACCTTACTAGAAACTTCATGAGAAAATAAAAGTAGAAGAGCAAATAAGTTGTGGTATGGGAGGAGGTGGGGGGGGCTTGCAGGGAGGAAGCAAAGGGACAGCTAGACCCTTGTCTTTAATGAGCACGTGAATAATCGCCCCCTCTATGCTCTCACTGACATCTCCAGCCACCTCCTGCCCCTCAGCTGCCTCTATTATAGTCAGAGGCAGTTACCAACTGCCTCCCTTCCTCAGATTTCATAGTTTTATGACCCAAAGAACATATACTTTAAGTTTAAGAAGAAACAACTACTACACAATCAAAGCACTTATGAACGGCTCCTGCATCTTTCTTTCACCCACCAGAGCTCACGGCATCAGCTCTTCTTGTGTGGGAATTCTGGAGGCCTGTGGCATCGTTCAAACTCTGACAGGAAGAACCACATAACTGAGTCTACCGTCCACAGGCTGCCCTTCTCAGGCTTCTCCTGTGGATGCCCCAGCGGGTAGCCAATCAGAGCACCACACTCCCCACAAGCCTTTCAAGACCACTGCGTACAATCTGCCAGCACAGCTTCTCAAACGCAGGTCAATTTCTAATTCGCAGTGAGAGCCCACCTTGATGTCAGCACTTGGTGTGGGGAGAGGGGGATTCATTCCCATATAATCTCAAGGTGCTCAACTTTACAACCCAGCAACAGGCTCATCAGGATAGAGCACATGGGAGTCACATGCCAATTGCTGTTCGGGTGAGCACTTATGTGAGGTTGAAAAAAGCAAAACCAGCACAGGTGCGAAGAAGTCCTTGTGGCTACCTGTGATCCACAAAAAAAAAAAAAAAAAAAAAAAAAAAAAAAAAAAAAAAAACCTATGCAGCAAGGTCTCTAGAGTATGTGGGGCAGGAGGGGAGGACTTTGTCAGGCAAAAAACAACAGCTTTAGAAGCCTTCCTAAGAGGAGGAGGGGAGGGGAGGGAACTGGGATTGACATGTAAAAGAAGCTTGTTTCTAATTTAAAATTGGTCTAATTACGATTATAAAAATAGAAAATATATTTTAAAAAATTAACACTAACAATAAAACAAAACAAAACAAAACAAAACAAAAGAAGCATTCTAAGAACCTGGTCTAATAGAGGGGAGCGGCTACTCTTCCACCAGAAACTCCAAGAGCTCCACCATGCACCAGAGGGTTCAACATCTAAGGCCACAGTGTCACCTTGTCCTCCCCTGGGCCAGCTTGAATAAGCATGATTCCCTCCTACGGAAATATACCGAGGACTTTGGTGACAAAGACCAAGGATGAAACAAAAGTGTATTGAATCTAATGCTGACATATAACAAAAATGAATATAAAACAAAGAGACCAAACACAACACAGACCACACGGTGTTTTTATTGAGGCCAGGTAAAGTCCTATTTCAAAGACCAAGGAGGATAAACACACATGGAAGTTCCGTAAATTGACAAACTCCATGTGGCATGCAGAAGCAGACTACTACAGGGCATACACTTGGTGCCGCCCATTTCCTCTCTCTGGCTAACTGTAAAATGCTAATAAATGGGTACAGGGTGGAAGAGTAGGAAAGGTTCTCTGCCCAATGCCTTCCACCCACTTCCGGTGTGCTGCGAGAGTCAAGTGCACTCCTATACACTCAGCGCTTTGGGGAGAGTAGCGCCTCTCTGTGTCTTACAGGACATTAATTAGCTTGATGAAGATCATTTTCCTGAGAAGGGAAAAGCAAGACAGTGGTCTCTCCTACAGATGAACTTATAACCAGAAACATAACCACAAGTGACAAAATATTAACGGACAACACTTTAGCAAAGATGTACAGGAACCCCGAGTGAATTATCTGATTTCCTCTGACTTTCACTAAAGAACAATGAAAGCCAAGTTACAAATCTGAGCCCAAATGGTCTCCAAATCTCAATGACAATTATGTTATCCACTGTGTGCATTTATGTGGGGTGCATTCTTCTGCGGCTCCTTGGGAACCACTCGCCTTGGTTTTTTGAGAGAGATTCTTTCACTGAGGCACGGAACTTCCTGACAGGACAATGCTGCGGGTCAGGGAGCCCCGTGGACCCACATGTCCCCATTTTTTATGCACTAGGATTGCAAATGTGCACCCCCACAGCCGCCTTTGCATGGCATGGGTGCTACAGGTGGAAGTCGAGAGCTTGTACAGCCAGCCAGCCCTCTGCCACCTGAGCCCTCTCCACGGTCTTGCATGCTCCACTTTTACAGCAAGCATGACTACAAGGGTGTGAGAAGATAGCAGCTTATTATTGAAAATCTGTCCAAAAAATTTACCCCCTTTCATTACAATTCCAGAGCATTCCTCATACATAACATGGCAAGAGTTCCACAAGATAAACGTCCTTAAAAATGTTTAACAAGCCCGGTGGTGGTGGCGCTTGACTTCAATCCCAGTGTTCTGGAGGCAGAGGCACAAGAATCTCTGAGTTCGAAGCTAGCCTGGTCTACAGAGTGAGTTCCAGGACAGGATTCAAAGCTACAGAGAAACTCTGTCCCAAAAAGCCAAAAAGCCAAAAAGCCAAAAAAAAAAAAAAAGTTTAACAATAACAAACAACAGGAACAAGGCATCAACTCATGTTTTAGATTTAGCAATATTTGAAGATATCTGACATGAATATTAATCATAATGATGCTTGCTATGGAAGATTTTTCAACAGCAGAAATGACACCACAGAGGAGTTACACTGTCAATGTGAGAGACAAAGTACCAGCCACCATCAGACATAGACTACATTTTCAGTGTATAAAGTCAAAGAAGTTGTGTTCACGATACCTATAGAACTAGTAGAGGCTATAATTTTTCAAGAACATATGAAATAAAAAAGCAGGGAGAAGCCACTATATTTCAAATCAACTTTAAATTATAGGCAAACCAGAATATAATGCTAAGATTGCAGTATCAAAAAAAAAAAACATGGGATATACTTTAAAGAATAAAAATAACTTTGAGGGGAAAAACTAGAATAAATCTCTAGCAATCAAAATAATCACATTTAAGTTCTTACCAAGTAGGTAATTTTGAAAGCATTCTTTAAAATAACTGAGGGCTGTTATAAAATATGTGTTTTACAAATTTGAAGTTAAGTGGCAAAGTCATCTTCCAACGTAAAAGGTGATAAACATTAAAAACAAATGGACAAAGACGGCAGACCCAGAGCAGTGTGGGGCGTGACGGGCGTTCGCCATCCCCCACCACTGCATCCTTGCTGCCTGGGCCAAAGCAAACTTGCAGATGCATTTTCAAACAGAACACTTCATGTAACTCCTACTCACAGAGCACAGATGAAACATTAAGTAAATCTGTTTTCTGTCTCTAACTTCAGATTTCATTAATCTGATATTTAAATTATTAGGTCAGAATGTGCTTTCAGATTATTTAGAAGTCATTTAATCAGAATAGATTCCAACAGATTTTTTTCCCAACTTGGCTAAAGCAACCAACATTGAAAGTAAGCCCGATACTAAAATAAAATTCTTCAGTAGACAGTAATGAAGTAGATTTGCTGTGTTCTTTTGAGAAAAGAGAGTGGACTCTCTAAAGGGGATGTTGACAGTATTAGCAACGAATAACCTCCAAGCAAAATTACTGGTAAAACAGAAAAGTAACACCCTTTTTGGTCCAGGCAATACTGAATTCTTTCATTCTGTGCTCATTTAGATGGAGAGTGACACAGGCTTTAACAATCATCAATGTCCCATCAAGGCAATGAATGTGTTCAAAAATGACAAGAAAGTGAAGGGTAAATGACTGACTTACATCACCAGCAGAGACGAACCTTCAAACTTACCTTTGCAAAGGCTTCAAAAAGGTCAAAAGATGGCGGCAGTTGGGAAGCATCCTGTATCTCTTCTCTCGTGAAATGCTGAAATGTCAGGGCAAGCTGCCTCAGGCCCTCTTTCTTATCTTCTGTGAGTTTGTTAATATCTTTTGTAAATAAAATAAATACTATAATCACCAAGTGGACTTCATGGATAATTTTCAGGTGTTTAGTCCCGGCTATTAAACAAAGTATTTCCTGACATGCAATCTATCCTGACAACTGCAAAATCATGATACATATTATGTCAGTTAAATTCTGTCCAACTTTATCCACAAACTAGATCACACAGCTGATGGATAGATAGATAGATAGATAGATAGATAGATAGATAGATAGACAGACAGACAGACAGATAGATGTGCACACAGGTTTTAAAAGTACACTAAACCCAAATCAGTTGCATGTTACCAGATCTTTTACAACATGGTGCACAAGTGTACTGTCATAAATCCTAATTAAACCAGTGAATTTAAACTGACTTTTCCCCATAATAATTCATAAGCATGTTACAACTGGCTCATAAACAATATTATCTGAAAGGTTCAAAGGGCAGAAAATTAGATAAAGTTCATATGAAGTTTAAACAACTGATATTTGTCATACAAAATGTGTATCCTAACAAAAACCTGGATAGCTTGAAGGAATCTCAACCTTTAGTTATTTCCAGGTTTGACAAACAGAGACAGCCTAGAGGTTGTACTTCTTCTCCTTGTGTTTGGGTTGAAGAGAAATATTCCAGACATAAGGAAAGAAGTAAAACTGGTAATAATTCTATAATGTTTCAAGATACAAAACTGGCATAAAAATTACTAAGACATTTTATACGGTGATATCAAACTTGATGACAAAAGAAGCAAAACAATGTGGGTTACAATTATGACCCCAAAATGAAACATACAGGAAGAAATTTAACCAGAAAAGTGAAAGCCCACTGCAATTATAAAACTCTGATGAAAGACACTGAAGAGGATTAATATTGTTACAATGCCCACACTCCCTCAAGTCATGTACAGACTCAATGCAATTCCTAGGGATTAGCAATGGCATCTTTCACAGGAACAGGGGAAATAATAGGAAAGCCAAAGCAATCCTGAGTGAAAAAGCTAGAGACGTGACAATATCTCATCTGAAAAGCATCTACAAGTCTATCATCACCAACCAGTATGTCATGGACATAATAACACACATACGATCACTGAGCCGGAGCAGAGAGGCCAGAAATTAATGTATGCTCACACAACAAAAAGATTCTCAGCAAAGTTGCTACAAATACACACACATAAAGACAGTGGCTTCAACAATTGTGCCAGGAAAGTGGGTATTCATGTATAGAAGAATAAAACTAGGACTCTATCTCTCTTCATACACAAAAGCAATATTAAATGTATCAAAAACATAAATACATGATCCCAAACCATAAAACTATTAGGGGAGAAAAACCCCAAGGAAAAGGTTTAGAGCACTGGCCTGAACACAAAGCTTTTGGATATAACCACAAAATACTATCAAGACAAACAAAAATTAGAAAATAAGATCCAATCAAATAGCAATGAAAATATCTGTACAAAGAATACAATCAGTAAAGCAAAGAAGCAGCCTACATAACAGATGAGAAACCTGCAAGTGATTTATCACAAGGGACTAATGTCTAGACTATATAAGGAATTCACACAATAACTCAATATTGGGGAGAGCAGAGAGGGTGAGAGAGGATAGGGAAGCGAAACTTTGATGGGGAAGTAAAAATAAAAACCAGCAGTGACAAAAATAACTCAATAACAATATGAAATCATGATGAAGATCCAATTTAAAGGGAAGCACATACTCTGGACAGACATTCCTCAAAAGAAGATAAACAAATGATAACCAGGTGTGTGACAAAAATACTCCACAGCACTAATCATCAGAAAATGTGAACTAAAATGATGAGACGTCATCTCACTCTGGCTACAATGGTTATTATACAAAAGCGTAAAATAATAAACCCTGGCACAGATGCAGAAACACGGGTACTCCTACACAATGGCACGCAGTGGCTGTACAAAACAGAACTGAGCAAACAAGATGTCTGCCCATCTGAATTCACTGCAGCACTAGGTACAGTACTCAAAACAAGGAATCGGGATGAATGAATGAAGAAAATAGGGTGCATCTATACAGCAAAATACTACACAGGCATTAAAAAAAAAATAGTGAAAGCCTGTTATTTTCACCTCTGGGACAAAATTGCAGAACATGATGTTAAGTGAAATCAGCCAGGCACGGGAAGACAAACAGCGCATCTTCTCATTCACCGGAGGAAGTTTTAAAAGGTTGTCTAGCTTCCCTTCTGTTGCTGTGATAAAATACTGACAAAAAGCAACCTAGGAGAAGAAATGCTTTATCTGGTTTACAGCTCCAGGTCAGTCACTGAGGAAAGCCAAGGCAGAAACTGAGGGCCCAAACTCGAAGCAGAAGCCATAATGCACGAGGCTTGCTGCTCTCTCTCTCTCTCTCTCTCTCTCTCTCTCTCTCTCTCTCTCTCTTTCTCCAAAATGGCTCCTGCTAACCTACTTGTTTTATACAGCCCAGGACCACTCGCTCAAGGAATGGGCAGGGTTCTCCCACATGCTCTACTAATGGAAATGATCCCTCACAGACATCACATTAACCAGATCTAAGCAATTCTCATCTGGGGCTTCTCCTCCCAGGTGACTCCAGGCTGTATCAAGTTGACAATCAAGTTAGCCAGGACAGAGTAGATCTCAAACAAAACAGTGATCACTGGATGTGAGAAAGAACAGTGGGGAATGGAGTGAAGAGAGGTTGGACACTGGGTACCAAATGCAGCTAGCTAGGGGGAATTGATGCTGCTATTCTGGAGCATACAGGCTTAAGGACTTGACAGATAAAAACAGTCAGTGGGTCCCCAACACAAAAACATGATACACTTCTGACAGAAAACACCTGCCAATCTGATATGATCATGACTTATTGTATATTTATGCTAAATTACTCTACAAAAATGTTTCAACTTTTAAAGGTTCCCAATACATACAAAGGATATATTTTTTGAAATGGTAATGCTAACTACCTGATTTTATTGTTATACATTATATGCATATACTGGACCCCATAAGTTTGTTTAGAGATTTTATGTGTCAATAATATTTTTTCTATTAAAAAAAAAGAACACACATAAAGTGAGATTTTTTTCTAAAGCCAGTATGATCTCCTTGAACATCAGTTTAAATTATAATACCATATTTAAATAATATGTCATTATGAATGGCATATTGAGGCTAAGAGTGCGCCACCACACTGATAACATCTGAGCATCTCACCAAAGGCAATGTAATGGTTTGCTACTGAGCAGGACTAATGTTAATAGTCAAGTTCACTGTGAATGGTATTAATTATCCAGCCGTACTACAAAGGAAAATGACTAATTAGTTCTCTATTAAAACTTGAAAAGACACATCACATTGAACTAGCATCCTTCCTCGTGTCAGGTTTCCAAATTCTCTTCAAATTATTTGTCCAACAGAATAATTAACCCATGATTTCTTAAATAATAACTTATTACCACTGGCACTTAAGTTCCTAGAACTGTAAATCTAGAGATCATCTTCTCCTTCATCTCTAACCAGGAGTGGGAAACTGTGTAACACTTACAGTCTAGGAGTTCTAGCTAGTTTGAGACTGGAACCACTCACACCCTCGGTGAAAAGGACATGTGACTGTGCAAGGCAAAATAAGCCTGACTGCAGGTGACACCTCCACCTGGGAGGCCTTAAGGCATTCATGGTAGCTGACAGCCACCATGGTAGCCCAGGAAAAGAGCAATGTTCAATACTGTCACAGAGCCTAAGTCGTCGTCTGTACCTGGTTCACTACAGCACTCTTCGCTAACGTGGAGAGGAAACCAGGAAAGGAGAGAAGGGGATAAAAGGAGGTGAAACAGAAGACAACTGTCACTTAGACTATCAGCTATGTTACTAACACACTGAATGAGATCCCTCAGTTCTGCTCATGAGGAAATCATGAGTTCTCCCTCGTATGGCAAAGGATTATGGGTTGGATTAACAGATTCTAAAGATCATAGCTTCAATTCTTAAAAACTAGAGGTGCATAGCTGATAGGGAATGTCCTTCTGTGTATGTTTATCTTATTGGTTAATGAATAAAGCACTGGTTGGCCAATGAGGCAGCAAGATAGGTGGGACTAGGAGGCAAGAAGGATTCTGGGAAATGTAGTAAAAGGAAGTTTTGTGATACAGGCAGGAAGTGACATAGCAGGCAGACTCATATATAAGCAAGGCAAGAAGGAAGTTGTCCCTTTTCTCTTGCTCTTCCTCTCTGCTCTGGAGCCGCCATGTGATCCTGGCAAAAGAAGATGCCTGCTGCCGGTGTCTCTGTAAGTAAGTCTTTAGATTAATAGTTATGGTTGATAATTAAGACTGAGATAGCAGATGAGAAATTCTAGTCATTGGCCAAGCAGCATTTGTAGCTAATATAAGTCTCTGTGTGTTAATTGGGACCTTAATGTGGCGGCGGGCAGAACTCGGGCGGCCTGGCAGAAAGTGCCCACTTGGCGGCAGGGCTCAGGCAGATGGAGTAAAGACTTATCGTAACACATAATTGGAGACCCTAGAAGCTAAAGACTGAATGTCTGGGGAGAAGAGAGAAAGGGGGATAATGGGCGGGGAGAGTGAGGGAAGTTCAGCTGGCAAATGACAGATTTAGTTTTAAGATACTAATGAATAATCACTTACTGGACTCCAGATCATAAAATGAGTAAAGTTTCTCCGACTCTGAGGGCTTTTCATCCATCTGGGAAGGAAACGGAGAAGACACAAGGTGAGCACTCCAGTATATAAATAAGTATATTTGACCACACTTTGATAATTTGATGAAATTTTTTGTTTGCTTGTTTTGAGACACGATGTACCACTCACTACATCACTATGTACCTCTGGTTATCCTGGAAATAAGTCTGCCCGCCAAGCTGGCCTGGAACACACAGCAATACACCTTCCTCTGCCTCCTAAGTGCTGGGATTAAAGGCTCGTGCCACCATATTCAGCTTCAATGAAACTTTTAAAACATTATAACCTATATGCCATTTTTCATAACAATTTAAAACATTATTTATCCATTATTCATTCATTTTGTGTGTGTGTGTGTGTGTGTGTGTGTGTGTGTGTGTGTATCAGAGGGCAACTTAAGAAGTCAGGTCTCTCCTTCCATCACATGGGTTCCAGAAACTGACCTCAGGCCATCAGACTGGGCAGCAAGCATTGCTAACACCAAGTCCTGTCTTCAGGACTCTTCAGGGTTTTTTTGTAATTACTTATAACAACTTTAAAATCCAACTTTCAACTTCACCTAAGCAGTTTTATCTCCAAATAAAAATCTCTTACAAGAAGTCCCCATACTTCCACATTCTCAAAGGCCTCTATAAAAGTTGAGGGTGGAGTAAAGGGAAATAAGAAATCGAAAGTCAATGAATAAATGAAGGAACCCAGTTAGAGCCTGCAAGACACTTATGACACACCCTATCAGAAGATTCTGGAAGTGTGTTCAGAGCAGGGTTTCAGATAATGCTGTGTGCCAACGGACAGGACTGCAGAAATCACAAATCCTGGCTCTCCAAAAGAAAATAAGAATTTGTCTATTTAATGTATTATTATCTAATTATATCCTCACCTGAAAAGACAATAAAGGCGTGAAGTGTGTTCACAGAAAAAAAAGTTACAAAGAAAACATACTAAGTACTAGATGCTAACATGTTACCTCAAAACTCTATTCAAGAAAGAGATTACAAAATCTCTATAGACAAGAGCTGTACACCACATGGCCCTCAAGGCAATGACTAATAGGGACATGAGTTTCTCGTCTTAACGCACTGCCTGGGATATCCCACCATCCACCTTCACATGACCTCAGCCTCAGCCTTAAATATGAATAGGAAAGGCAATTGCTTTTATCAAATTAAATCCAGGCTTCTCTCACGAGCCGTGTACTCACAAGTTTCACGATGACTCTGGCCAGAAGTCTCACAGAGTCAGGGGGATATCTGGGCTTGCAGCTTTTAAGACATTTGCATTCCTGCTTGTGGTCCGGCCAAGCTTTTTTCTGTGAAGACAAGAGTAGGGAAGGGTATCGGAGATGAAAGTTAACTTTCCTTTGAGCCAGTTCTGAACACTGCCAATTGTCAACCTTAATGTAATTTCAGCAGCCTGAATATAACTGCAAAATACAAAATTCATTGTGTAATACTGAGAATGATCCAGAATTTAGTCTTTGTCAGGTAGGTACCAGATAAAGGCATCAACACCTCAGCTCACCTTGTCCTCTAATTTTCCCCTCTGGTCATTACCAGACTGGGAGATTCCATAGTAAGAACCAGCAGGTCTTTTTTAATACCTAATATTTAGTAATATGTAAGATAGACTTAATGAAAATATCACTAGGACAGTGGTGGTACATGCCTAAGTAGGTGGATCTCTGTAAGTCAAGGCCATCCTGGTCTACAGAGTGAGTTCCAGGACAGCCAGGACTACACAAAGAAACCCTGTCTCAAAACACCAAAACCAACACCCTCTAAAAAAGGAACAGACTCACAAATAAAAGTATTACTCATCGCTGGAAACTAAAACAAGTGGCTAAGGGAAATCAAAACAGGAAACTCAACATTCTGAGTTTCCACATTGCTGTAAAAAAAAGTCAGGCATACCAGGAGGGCTAACAGATGCAAAACTATAAAGACCATAGCTCTCAAAGGAAAGGAGCCAACCCATAATATACAGTTTGTTAAAGACTGTACAAGGTCATAACTTATGTCCTCGCTTAATTATAACAGAGCCCTTTGCATTTGAAAAAGCATGTAGCTGGGAAGGTAAATTTTCCAATCAGCACATTTGTGAAACTAACCATGTGATGTGAGCAGTGGGCTGGTCACATACCTAGACATGAGTGAACTAAAGAGACGGATTCCATCCCTGAGGAAAGGGCAACAGGAAGAGCAACAGTCTCATGTTCTATCGCTGACATACTCAATGTCCCACACATTCTTACTTCATGAAAATTATTCATCTGACTTGTATTAGTGTTCCGGTGGGCCTTTGGCTACAAAAGACTTCCTATGTCAGCCTGGCCAGCACCTAGACACCTAGGTCTGGGAAATGCTGCTTACAAGTCTATCAGCTCTACTCACAGTTGCTCACTTTGATTATGATGATGCTGTCTAATGCTCTTCCTTCCGGTATTTATATCTCACTCACATCTAAGCGGGATGACACTGGTTCCATGTACTGAAGTATGAGAAGAGCTGGGAACATAGCTCAGTGACAGAGTGCGTGAAGCCCTGGTTCAAGCCCTAGTGTCGCCAAAAAAGATGCGGAAGAGGAAAAAAAGAAGAAAAAGACAGCCAAGCATGATATGCCTGTAATCCAGGCACTCAGGGGGCTGAGGAAGAAGAATTAGGACTTCAAGGCCATCCTCAACTACATATTGAGTTCAAGTCAACTTGTGCTGAATGAAACCCTATCATTTAAAAAAGAAGATGAAAGTTGTAAAAGAAATAGTTCATAACAGCAGAAACATAAAATGCTAAAAAATCACTGGTAGAATTGAGTAAAGTCCTCTGACATCCACTTAGCATTCTAGAATGTGCTAGACACATGCCTAAGCAATTAACAAAAGATGTTGCATTTAATTTTCTCAGTAATCCAGATACTAGAAATCATGCTAACATTAAACGGAGAAAAGTAAGGCTCATGATCTGGGATTTAAAACAAACTTCCCAAATATAAACAAGGATAGTAAACGCCTTGGCGTGCTTGAGGTAAACACTAAGTGACTGCCATGTTTGTACATTTATTTAAGTTGCTTTATAAGCAAGGCGGAAACAGAACATAATGACTTCCATAATTCTCATCTGGGAGAAAGGACGACATATGTTACTAAATATTAAATCACAAGAGGGACGGATTCCAAGAAGGCTGATCATCATACTGGACAGTGTCTTTGACATTGCTTATATTTACAACTCTAATAGCCTTTCGGGAAGCTACATAACACCAGTACTTACCTGAAGGCACAGATTTAAAATCTAACTCGGTAGAACAAAAAGCCTGTTGTACAGGAAGGAGGACTGAACTAGCAACTGTCAGTCACCAAGATGTACAAGTTGTTCAAAAAGTTCATTGTTTCACTGTCAAATAAGTTGGAAAAACAAAACCATACACACCCTGCTTAGCAAAATATATTAACCTATTAAAAATTCCAACGCAAAGAAACTTGTACAAATGATGTAACACAGCATCCCATGGCTGTCATTGCCATCCTTGAAGATGTGGGTTGTTATACACTGACTAAGACGTAGTAAGGTGCTTAATTCCATCTGGTCTTCGAATGAGAGTAGGCTAAGCAGACCAAGGCAGAGTCCGTCATTCTGACAAGAAACTAGAGTGCTGATATCTTTAAATAGTGAGTTAATCTGCTATACTCATAGATCAGTGCCCGGCCCTATCATCACCATAAAGGCTTCATCCAGCAATTGATGGGAGCAAATGCCGAGATCCACAGCCACATTAGAAGGAGCTCAGGGAACCCTGCCGGAGATGGGGAAGAAAGATTGGAGGAGCCAGAGGATTAAAGGAAACCATGAGAACACGGCCCACACAATCAACAGTGCTCATGGGTCCTCACATAGACGGGAGCAACAATCCCCGAGTGGATGCCTCCTGCCGCTCACCAACAGTTATCTGCAAAGGGTTCCTGTGGGCAAAACTCAAAATAAATGAGTTGACCCTCAATCTGTGGGCATGAAGAGACTTGAAAGCTTTCATTCAACTTAACAGTACTTGATAGCAAATGAATGACAGGTCCTCCTCTGTCCTTGAAAAGGCCGGAAGTTGAATCACAGGTCACCAGAGGCGTGAATCTAGGAAAATAAACTGCAGGCTGAGCAGGTGTTGCACTGGTCAAAATCCTGCATAAAAACCTCTAGAAAGCTCAGGAGAGTCAGAGCCCCTTCCAGTGGGAAGGTAGGGCCAAAATGAAGAAGGAACGAGGTCAGGAATAGCCACAGGACTCCAAGTCATCAGAAAATGAAACAGGGCTAAATTGTTACCTCTATAGAAATCACAGTATCTTGGTTAACCAAAATCCATACAATATGAGGCAATAAAAACACTAGCAGCCCAGAGTACATCTCGTACAGGGTTCAGAAAACTATGACCTGGAAGTAAAATCTCTGCAGCCACAGTTTTGGAAAGTTATACTACAATATAGTCACATTCGATAGCTGTACTCTCTTTGTGCTAAGACAGAGTTGAAAAGTTATTAATAAGTCATACAGCCCTTCACAGGAAAAAAAAAAAAAAAGGCTAAACCATCTACAGAAAGACCATGCCAACACTGTGAGAGACACAAAATAAATTATTCCCTCCCATGGATTTCTATGCATAGCAGAAATCACCATCTGGGTTAACCAAAATATCAACAGCAGGTTTATGTGGAACTAGCAGAAAGAGAATTGTATTTCCCTGACACAAGTAATTGTAGCATCTGTAATTCCCAGAGTCACCAGAGGGATGGCTAGCCCTCATTAGAAAGTTCAATCTGGTAAAAAGACAGGGTGCAGGAGCAGTTCAGGAGGCCATCAAGGGTATCACAGCTTTGTCTGGGACAGGCTGCCCTGCCATGTGAAAACTCTAAAAGAAAGTCTGTGTAGCTGATAAAGAGTGGAACTAAAATGTGGTGGGGGTGAGGATAGTCAAAAGCCTAGATTACTGAAGTGTCTTAAAACATCTCCCTATTACTGGCAAGCAATGGAGGGTTAAGATGAAGGATCCAGTTTAAATATGATGCTAAGACTGCTACATTCTTCTATTTGGTCCTACTCTTACACTGACAGGTGCTTTCCTAAATAGAGGACATGGTGACAAACACCTGTAATCCAAACACTCTGAAAGCTATTGCAGGAAGATCTTGGGAGTTAAGCTATTTGGGGATATATGAATTTGAAGCCAGTATGAACTACACAATAAGACCCAACCTCAAAACACTAAAAGGCAAAGGGAAGAAGAGACAATGGAGGGCTGGAGACACAGCTCAGAGGTTAAGAGCACCAGCTGCTCTTCCAGAGGACCTGTGTTCAATTCTCAGCAACCGTGTGGTGGCTCACAACCATCTGTAATGAGATATGGTGCCCTCTTCTGGCCTGCAGCCATACATGCAGACAGAACACTGTATACATAACAAATAAATAAAGCAAGAAGAGGAGGAGGAAGAGGAGGAGGAGACAATGGAGTAGTTCCAACAAAATGTTTAGTTAAGACCTACAAAAGGCAGGAAAATAATAAAAGACAAAAACAGAAAAAGAAACAGAAAATAGTAACATAATAGTAATGATAGTAATGATAGATATAAATAACAAGAATCATTCTGAGTGCCACTGGTCTTAATGCACAATTAAAAAGAGATACTGTCAGGATAGATTAAAAATAAAACTGCAAATCCCATCAGTCTGAGGCCTGAAACACGGCTATTCCTGAAATAATCAAAAGGGTTAGCTTTCTTCAGTACACCCTCAAGTATGGTGTTCCAGAAAACAACCGATAAGATCACCCTGTGAAATGCTTACTGATGAAGGATTAGTTCCCCACCATAAAAATAAATCATTTGGGCCGGGCGTTGGTGGTGCACGCCTTTAATCCCAGCACTCGGGTGGCAGAGGCAGGTGGATCTCTGTGAGTTCGAGACCAGCCTGGTCTACAAGAGCTAGTTCCAGGACAGCCTCCAAAGCCACAGAGAAACCCGTCTCAAAAAAACCTAAATAAATAAATAAATAAATAAATAAATAAATAAATAAATAAATAAATAAATCATTTGATAACTACACATGAAATACAGACCCAAAATATGATTCATGTATGTAAAGAGATACATAATTGCTAATATGAAACAGAACCTTTCTCTGCAAACACTTTTCAAAAGATCGCAATGTGAAACTTGATCTAGAACTTGGTCTCATGCTTTATTCAGTGATGAGGTGAATTAGAAATGCAAATTTCACAAGTCAAACTAAATCCAGAAAAGCTATCAACATCGCTGTTAGTTTTTACATTTTTAACATTTCTTGATGAAGAAAAAGCCTATTTCTCCTTTACAATCTCGGGATCAACCTTGATGTTCCATTATGCCAATATGGAGACCTGCCCTCACACTAGGAAATAAAGTGATATATGTCCCACAATAAGGCACAGAGCTTAAAGCCACCAGTGAAGAAATAATCTTGTCGGTGTCAGAAAAAAAATATTGTACCCAGCAGTATATAGGTGAGTATACTAACTGACTGAATATATAGAAAAAATGGAGGAACAGTTGTCTTTGTGTCCTTCTGCAATCACAAAAAGAAACACAAATTATATTTAAAATGAAGAAAAGGAATCTCGAGGAAATATCCATTGTTTTATTCCTCTATAATTCTGTATTACCTTAATTTTTATAATGAAAATATGTTCTTGTATTGCTTATGTTTAAAAATGAAAACTGAGTGCTGATGACAATGATAGCGCCCTTTAAGCAGAAAGAATATATTACATTCTTAAAACTATCCCCAAAACCTTTCGAAGACAACTCATTAACACCATAAAAGTCTCAACTACTGAACCAAAGTCATGTCCCTCTCAGGCAAACATATTTTTTTGCTACAGAGTCACAATCTCTACATTAATTTCCATTCCACTTGCTTTTACTTTCTCTTCATTTCTGTTCATCATCCTCACTGTATGATTTGTCAGTTTAATTTTGTACAGCTTTGTAGGTATCCACAATAATTACAACATATAGCTCTGCACCTTAAGGTGAGGATTAACTAGCGCAGTTTAAATGCATATGTTCTGGCCAATCCTTGACTCCCAGTCTACACCCACACAATACCCCCTACACACATACGCACAAAAACGCGTACTCAAGCTAGCAACATATATATTTCATCTTACTGGCTATTTTTCCATTGCCTTCCACATTATATCCAACAATGACATTGTTATTGATTCTTCAGTGAATAAGTAATATATGTAATAAAATATATACACTACAATGAATCAAAGTGACATACCCACTTGCCAAACTCCCTCTACTTGTTCTAATCAGATAATGGCTTTTTCCTTTTCTCTATGTGTTATTACAACTGAAGAAAGTAGCTTGGAGAAAATACATTTGTAAAATTGGGCGAGGGGTGGTGTTAGGCCATTGAGATTAGAAATGAAGTTTCCAAAAGATGTGTGTTAAATAACTTGTTAATTCATTTCTATATGCATTCCACCTGACCAAATTTACAGGCAGTGGAGTGGCTGAAATATCATCATAAAAATATATTTTTAATGATTTATCTTGTGGAAAAGGCATGTGTTTGTTCTCTCTCTCTCTCTCTCTCTCTCTCTCTCTGTTTTTTATTATAGTTACTGTTAATGATCTTATAGAAGAAATCTTAGATCTCACTTTGACAAAATATTTGGTATAAAAAAGAGATTAAAATAAAAATCGTTTTTAACAATTCATCTTATCATGAAAATGTTGAAGGTTTATATTTCTACCTGTGTGTGTGTGTGGCATTGCTCCCGTGCATGGTATGTGCCTGTGGGTGTAAAGACATGCACGCATGCACGTATGTGTACATATGTGTGTAAACACTGAAATAAAACATCTTTCCTTGACTGTTCTTTATTTTTGGAGGTATTCCACTGAATTGGAAGTTCATGGATTCAGCTAGGCTTGCTGGCTAATGAACTGCAGGGATCTACCTGTCTCTGCTCCCAAACCTGTCTCCATCCCCACAAAGTTTGAGGTTACAGACACGTCCTGTCATGTGTGATGATCTAAACCGGGTCCTCATGCTTACCCAGCACACACTTTACCCACTGAACGATCCCCCCAGCTCTTGATTTCTATTGTAAATTGTTTCCTTTTGTGTCTTTTAAAAACAAAATAAGATAGCTGGGGGATAAAAGGGGTAAAGATCTTTCTGGGCATGTACCAAGCATCAGAGTGAAAATAATTAGCCAAGAAACGAAGGCCAAATGCAACAGATAAAAGAAAAGCAGATGTAATCAGAATATTATAGCAAGAATAAAATTTACATTTAGAAGATAAGCATAAAATCTAGACATGTGTTATTAATATGTACATTTATTTCCCCAAACGTGGTGTATCAATTATCAGTTATGAGATATGTAACAATTTACTTGCTTTTTCTGAGCTTTTTCCTTACTGATAATTGAGCATGGTAACAGTAGCCAAATTACACGAGTCTAAAAAATTAAATGAAATAAAACAGCACTTAGCACGAAGTAGATACCTAACAATTATTAGCTCTCAGCAGCACCTAACACCCAGCAGATACCAAACAACTATTGGCTCTCAGCACCTAGCACACAGCAGATACCTAACAAACACTATCTCCCAGAACCTACCACCCAGAAGATATCTAACAAATATTTGTTGACAGAGGTCTCTGTCCCACCCAGTCCTGCAACCATAGAATAGATAATGAAGTATTTTCTCCCAATTTGTCAAATGATAATGGACTGGATATTTTCTCTGAATTTGTCAAATGCAAATTCACTAGACATTGATGATGTAATTATTGAATGTATATACTGTATATACTTATTGTACTTACTATATAGTTTTTCTTATGTTACTTGTAGCCTTCTTTTTGTATTAGACAAAAAAAGGTGGGAATTGTAGTGAAAAACTATGATTTAATAAAGCTTTCCTGAAGATTCAGAAAGCAAAGTCAGCCACAAGCTATAAAGGTCAGGCAGTGGTGGCACACACCTTTAATCCCAGGACTGAGAAGACAAAAGCAGATGGATCTCTGAGTTCAAAGCCACCCAGGTTTACACAAGATTGAATCAGTCTAAAAGAATAACAGTGCTCACGCCTTTAATCCCAGGACTCATTAGAGGTATTTAAGACAAGAACAGAGTCAGTAAGAGCCATTTGTTCTCCAGCCACACTGAGGAGAGGCAGCAGTCTGAGACTTGGTGTGGATCAGTCCTTTCAGCCTGAGCTAGAGGTGAGAGCTAGTGGCCGGCTGCCTTGCTTGATATTCAGCTTGAAGTTCAAACCCGAATATCAGTCTCTGGGTCTTTTATTAATTCATGTTACAAATATTAGCTCTCATCAGTGCAGACTCAGAAACCCAAGCCTGACCTTGTGTTTCCTATGAAATAATTTAACTAGAAAGTGGTAGAAGTAACATCCCAACTTGGATCCTCTGAGAGTTTTGTACATGGTGTTTCTTCCATTAAGATCATTTTATTTGCATTCTGAAGAGACTAATTTCAAAAGTAAAAATGAGATGGCAGAAGAACCCCTGAGAACAATGGTCTAGATTCAAAAGGAAGAAAAAAAAACTCCACGCAAGTGTTTGTGCCTATAAACACACAAGCAAGCAAGCAAGCAAGCAAGCAAGCACACACACACACACACACACACACACACACACACACACACAAAAATGTGAATGAGGATGGGATGACACAAACACAAAAGTTTCAATTAGACTTTTTAATTTCACTAGAGCATAATTATACCTCTTATTAAATGATTAATCAAAAGATTTGGAGAAAAGGTCATGCTGAATGTTAATTATACAACCTTAAGAGAATTCCAAAGATATTAACAACCATATTCACCACAAATTAATTTAATCTTTAAGAAGGCAATTTGGCATTATCTGTTAAATTGCAAAATGCATGTATCCTTCCACTAAATAAATGATTAGAAGTTTATCATGAAAATAATTTTTAGAAGTATACAAAAACTACAAAATAATGTTGTGTTACCAATACCAAGTTTGGGAGAAAATCTAAACACTAATTAATGATAAAATTATGATCACGGTAAATATACCTATGTGTTTGTGTGTATGTATATGTGTGTGTGAATACACACACACACACACATACATATATAATAGAATATATTTGTTGATACAAAATAGTCCCTAAATATGAAAAATAAAATCAAGACATAGAAGAACTTGAGCTGGGCTGAAGAGATGGCTGAGAGGTTAAGAGCACTAGCTGTTCTTCCAGAGATCCTGAGTTCAATTCCCAGCAACCACATGGTACCTCACAACCATCTATAATGAGATCTTGTGCCTTCTTCTGTCATAAAGGCATACCTGCAGGCAGAACACTGTTTATATAATAAATAAAATCTTAAAAAAAAAGAACCTGAGCCAAAACAACCTGCATCTATTTTTATAAACATATATGGCTCTTCAAATATGTCTTCACAAAAACCTTAATAATGGTATGAAGGTTTGAAACTGAAATGTGCCACTGAATGCACCACCAAATGCATGGGCATTAAAATAAAGGCTGAACCCCCAGCTGGTGTTCCTGGTGGGTGACTGGATAATGAAGGCACTAATGTCCTCAGTGAAATTATCCATTGAATTCATAGCTAAAAGGGTGACCAGAATATTGTGTTGGGATAGATGTGGTCACTGGTACCTGGCTTTGACTACTTGCCCTAGCAGGAACATGTCTGTCTCTATCTCTTTCTTCCTCCCTTTCTCCCTCTCTCTCTCCTTACTTAACAAAACCTATTCAAACTATACAAATAGTAAATTTAAACTGAAAGAAAATAACAAGTAAAAAAAAAAAATCACCATTTTGTTCTTGTTTTCAAAAACACTAAAGACAACAACCCTCAGGTGTAACTGAGGCAGGTGCACAGGTGGAGGCTTGAAGCTGTCACTGAGCAGCTCAAATAGTCTTACCTGACACTTGGCACTGCAGTATTTGGCAATTCGGCATTGAGAACACCGCATCAGCTTTTCCTTCCTGTTAAAAACAATTAATTCCGTGTTAGCAAACAAGTGAGAAACATGTATGACTAAACAAGGAAAACACAGGTCAACACATTAGTACCAAGAGTTCTGTGGACTCCTCACAAAGGAGCCTTTAAAACTCCTATGTCTCAGATTTTAGAGTAATTCAGGTTTTTCAATCATCTGATTATGGATTCTCAAATTGTACTCTGTAAACTTTAAATATAAAGAAAATTATGAGTCATCTCCCCAGACCCCCAAAATCATACATACTAGGTCCTGAGCCTATCAAGCTTAATAACATATATTCCTGCTAAGGAATGATTTAGAAATTTCATTAAATTCTACTTCAGACAGGCAGGATTAGGACTGCAAGGCATCAAAGTTGTTTTCCCAAGTCACCTGAGCAACAACAGTAACAACAAAAAAAAGGCGGAACCATAAATTGGTGGACAGAGTCAAGGCAGGCCAGAGCACCAACTGTCAGAGCATAACAAAATCAATGGGAAATCAGAAGGACTCATTGTGAGTATTTACTGGTGTGCCAGGCACGGTGCCATGTTCTGATCATCTACTCATTCATGCTCAACTTGAAAGATGAGCAGTCTTGCCATGTCCATTTCAGAAATACTTAATGCATTTTCGAGAGATAGAAAGTAGATACAACCCAGTTGTGGTGGCACACACCTTCAAACACAACAGACACATGGGTAGCAGAATGTCTGTGATGAACCAGCCTGGTCTACATAGTGAGTTCTAGGACAGCCAGAGCTACACGAGAGACCCTGTGTTTACAACAAAAAGTAGGTACAAACTAGCTAGAGAAGCATGAAGGTGCTGTGCCATGTGACCCTGCAAGGGTAACAACATCCTATCGAAAATGAGAACTGGACCACCTGCTACCTCTCCCCTGGAGGAATTGGAGAAAGAGCCGGCCATGAAACACTGAGACAGGTTAGGTGAAGAAGAGGTAAAATACTTCCCACATGCAACTGTAAAAGGGGAGCTGCCAAAATCTACACGGCAAACCAAAGCAACCAATCTGGTCTCAGTTTAGCTTTAACTTCACATTCTACTGTCACTTATAAATAAAACTGGATTAAAAATTTAATTCACTCATGCCTCAAACAAAGAGACATAGGAGATGAGAAGAGAAGGCTACACCAGGCAAACAATAAAAGAAGCCCAAGTAATCATATCAATATCAGGAAAAGGTTAAACGAATCATAAGAGAAAGAAGGCCAAAGCGTAATGATAAGTGACCCTAGTCACCGCACCAGCTGTTACGTATCCAGTAATAAATGTACCAAGTCTCAAAATGTAGAGAGTACAAATAATAGACCCTTAAGAGAAAAATGACCAACACACAATCAAGTTAATATATGGAAGGACCTTAAAAAAGTGTCTGGAATACAGGAAGCACCATGCAAGAGGTAGCTATTACTATACAAATACAGACTCTATCTGGAAATTCATTGGTCAAGCAAATAACGAGAAAGTAACTCTGAGTCACTCGTGCCTGTTAAATGGCTGTGTCCTCACACACCTTTTCCTTTTTTTTCTATTTTTATTTAAATTAAAAACAAGCTCGTTTTACATGTCAATCCCAGTTCCCTCTCCCTCCCCTCCTCTCCTGCCCCCCACTAACCCCCTATCCTATCCTCTTTCTGCCTCCCAGGGAGGGTGAGGCTTTCCATGGGGAATCTTCTGAGTCTGTCATATCATTTAGAGCAGGGCCTAGGCCCTCCCCCGTCACACACCTTTTTCAAGCACCTCTGGCCACTCACAAAAAGTACCCAGGAGGATAAATAAGACCAGTCATTTTCTCTAACAATGGAGAGATTAGAAACATTTCTTAGGAAACGCAATAGAATCTCTTCTGCCTGGATATGTGAGACATGCTTCTATGTTGTCTGGGGAACAGAAGAGCCACAAAGGAGATTAGGAAATATATTTTAAGTAAATAATGAGGGAAATACCCAAACTTGTACTAAACTAATACAGAAAAATTTTAACATTAAATATTCAGAAGAAAAACTGAAACCAAATGAGCTAAACATGGAAATCAAGAATTTAAATTGGAGCCAGACAGTGGTGCACATCTGGATTCCAAGAACTCAGGAGACAGAGGCAGGGAGGAGTAACTCCGAGACACCATCTCAAAACACAAACAGATAACAAGAAAAAAAGAACATTTTATAATAACAGAAAACCAATGATGGCATAAAGTAAAAACTAAAATCACAAGGCAAATGTTTTAAATCAAATAGTACACAATACTACAACAGAATGGATTAATGAAGCAAGAAAGAAAATGCTAACCAATAACTCCTATAAGAATGTTTGGAATAAATAGGACTGTAACCCAAGATTCAACCATGATTTAAAAACAATGATGGGGAAACTACAGCTACAACAAGACTTTAAGTCTCCAGACTTGACCACCAACTCTCGCCCTGGTCACCTACATCTACAACAAACCCAAAATACAAGTGGACAGAAACAATTGCCAATGGCTCTGAGATCTGATGTAAGTCAACAGAATTATAGGAGGAAATAGGAATAAACAACCAGCCTTCCAACAGACCACAAGCAAAAGTAACCCAAATCTGCCAAAAGAAAAGCAATGCAGAGGGTGATGAGCCAGTCCCCGAACAGCAGGCAAACATGGAGGAGAGGGGGAGAGGATGAAAAGAGGGCTGGCGCCAATGACCCACCTCCTCAGACTTGGCCTCCTATATTCTCTTTTCTTTGTCTATCTCATTCAGAGGTTACTTCCGCTGCCTGGAAATAGAGATCCCCAACTACACAAAGTTCTGGTGTTCACTTCTAAGAAATAGTGAGTGGAATCAAGACATCTGGGGACATCAGTAATGAAGAGCAGCCAGGCCCGGCACCTGCTCCACCCCACTTCCACAGCTCCCAGCAAGGAGCCTGCATCCTAGCACAGCGCTGTGGCTCACAACACCCGAGATGACCCAGAGTAACTCAATAGTTAACTCAATAGTTAATTGCTGTTTGCTGTGCTAGAAATCCCACAACAACAATTGCTCACAATTTTTATAAACAAGTAGATTTTAATTCTTGAGTTCCAAAAACAGCATTAACTCTATCTAAGAAAACAGTTCCAAGTTTTAGACCAGCCACTGATCCCAAGTAGAGCCCCACTTTCCTCTTGGGGTGAGCCTGGGTGCTGGGGGTAAGGACCCCCGCTGAGAAACTCTAGAACAACAGAAGAAAGCACAAAGGATCCAGGCCTCCAGGCGTTTTAGAAAACATTCTCCTCTCTCTTTTCTTTAAAGCACATCAAATGAAAAACAAAGCTGCATTTCTTGAAAGCAACAATGAGAAATGCATACATCAAATCAAAACCAGAAATAACTAGTAATCTCCCAGAAAAGGGACTGCTTATTTTAGGCAATTCCTGGGACTTAAAGGAGAAACACTGAATGAAAATGAATGAAGGACAGGTTTTTATGTAAATTGTGAAGCTTTTTCTAAATGTGGAAAAACTTAAGCAAAATGCCCCAGCAGTGTAAAGTTCCAGGTGACTCCTTGTGCTGTTGGAGAATCCATAAGGTACATTTCTGGGCATGAAGTAGTCACAGGGGAAACGGCTTGCCGTCACTGTTTTCTTTGATTCTCAATGTCGTGTGCAAACAACAAACATGAACTAAGTTGGAAGATAATGCCAGTTGTGCGTATTATGAGGGACAGTGTGGTTGTCTCAGAGGAGGAGAGGAGTGATGGGTATTTCATTTTTAGGTTGTGGAAATGTCCCTTTGCAAAGGAATTGTCCTAAGACAGGCAAGAGTCCACTCAGAACTGGCATTTCTCTCATAACTGAGACTTGACTGGCTATGTTGAACACCAGTGCACACACATTTCAGTTTGTATACAGTTTTTAGCAATGCACCAAAACAATAAGAAGACAAAGGTGGTGATTCTTTTTTCCTCAAGTCACTGAGAAGAAAAATCTGTGGGAAAAGGAATGGGTCTGAGATGTAGCTTAGTTGGCAGGGTGCTTTCCGGGCATCCAGAACCCTTGGGTTGGGCTCTCCAACACCCAGCAGCCATATGTGGACACACAAACCTAGAAGTTCAATATAAAAGGGATCTCAAAAACAAATCCAGTTTCCCAGTGATGTCTCTGCTTCAAACTTGGAGGCAAATTTTCCACGAGATGATAAATCACACATCAGTTACCTTGAAGTGTGGATAAAGTTTTGCAAAGGCCCAATGATTCACAACTGAATGTCAGATACACTCCATACTGTTTTCTACCTTTGGTAGGAATTCTTAGTGTAAGTAATCTGGAGAAGTTAGGAATGTGCCAGTGACAGCAACAGACAGTTTTAAATCTGTCCTTCCCCTGCTTAAGTCACAAACACTAGTGGTCTACTTCTACTTAAAAGTATTTTTAAACTATTTTTACTAAAATAAATAAGATCTTTTAAAATGCACTCTCTCAACAACCATAGTTTTTTGCTGTTTTGTTTTGTTTTGAAGAAAAGGCAGGTTCTGGATAGATGGCTCAGTAGCTAAAAGCACTGGCTGCTCTTGCAGAGGACCCAGGTTCAGTTCCTAGCACCTCTAGGAGACTCACAACCACTATAACTCCAGTTCCAAGGGATTCACAGCCCTCATCTGGCCTCTGGAATACCTGTGGTATACATGCATACATGCAAGCATTCATGCATACACATAAAATAAAAGCAAATAATTACATTTAAAAAGAAAAAAGCAGAAAGGAATTTCCTCCCACTAATTCATAGAGATACTGGAAGACACAGCACGGCATCCAGTCTAGGGAGATTCTTAGGTTGTCCTGGGTGCAGCAGCTCCTGGGGCACAGTCAGAAAGTCCCTTCTCCGCGGATAGCCTGAGCTATGGGTGATTTCTACAACAGTGTAAGCTACTGAAATGTAGACAGGAAACCAAATTGTGCAGAATTGATTGTCAGTTACAATCAACAATGAGTTATGAGTACAGGGGAGTCTACAGTCTCTGGAG